TATTTTATATATTTTAGGTAAAAAGAAGGTGAGAGTAAACTTAAATAAATATTAAACTTTTTTCATATGCTTAAACTTGTGTTATTTTCCTATTTACTATAGAAATCTTACCGTAACATTTCAAGTCTGAAATTACCTGGTACCTAATGGGTTAATGTACATATAGGTGCATGGAAAATAGTTCTTTGTTGTATAAAAAAATTAGTATAAAAAAATTTGTGCAATATCCCAATTTTGTGGAACATTTTCTTATAAGGCATTTTATATCAACTTTTTATTCGAATTTGAAGTTAATGCTAGCCTTAAGCAGAAACCTGGCAATGATTTTTGAGCAAAAAAGTAATAATTTTGGTTTAGCAGATAATTTTTCAAATAATCTGTAATTGAGTATATTATCATCGAAATATTTTTATACCGCTACTTGTAGAGAATAACTAGGAAACATTTACAGAAAAATAATTAAGTAAGAAAAATTTGTAAATCTTACGAGTGCAGGACTCTTAAAGTATTTTTAAATTTATGCAACGTTTTAAACCTTAACAAAATAAATTTCCATTTCTGTCACAAAATCACTTTCAGAGGAGGAATTCAAAAGACTTCTGTACGAACAGTGAATTCAATGTTAAACCTTCTAAGGTCGACACGACTAAAAATAGCCACAACATTCAAAGGCAATTAGGTACGAGTATCTGCGAGTTTGTCTAACTTTGAAACTGTGCACTTGCATATTTGTAACTATAACGTAAATAAATTTATACAAATATTTGCAGCTAACTGCATTGAGACTGACACACAAACAACAAGAGAACAAACAGACAAACAAGCAAAGATACTTTCATCCAGACATGCAACGCCAGCAGGTACTGCAAATCAGTCGACTGTAGGATGACGTGCGCTCAGTGTCCGTTTTACCTCTTCATTGTTTACATAAATAGTGCGCCCGCTACTTGTACTTCAATACAACAAAAAAAAACAAAAACGTGTTAGTAATATTCCTAAGATGCAAATAAACGATAGAAAGATTTGAAGTATCTTGTTGTTGATTCTACGTTTTGCTCTAGATACATTCGCCTCGAGGTATTTAGATGTGAGTTATTTTTGATATTTTAACAACCATTGCCGCTATTGTATTGTACATTCGCTGCCTACCGTGACTATATAAATAAACAATAGATTCTGAAAAACACAAAAAAAAAAACGAAAAAGAGGAATTACAAAAAGAATTATAGACATTTAGAGAAATATAAAATAAAATATTTCATAAATTATGCTAAATAATGCAATTGTGTGCACAGCGTTTTTAACTCTTCTATTCCAGATACGAAACGCAATGTCTTCTGTTATCTGAGTAAATTATTGAGTAGCTACGTACATTGCGTGGGTATTGTGCACTTTCTAGAAAATCTACATGGCAGCAAAATCATTAGACAAGTGCAATATTTAAAACTGGCGCTAAGTTAACCAAACTAATATCTTAACGACACTTTACCGTTGTTTTCTTAGAACTCAAGACAATAATAATATTTTTAGAAAATACACTGAGCCAATGCTATTTATTTGTCGAGACTCTGATCTGCGACAATGATTCCAATCAAAACTTATAGTCCGATAGTTGCGTATAAATGTAAAGCAGCAGCAGCAAACAGAGGTTATTCGAGTAGACGCTTTTTTTGTTTATAATTGTTTATAATTGGGAAAAATATTCCTTTTAGTTGGACTAACTGAAACCAGTTACCTAAACTTGCCTAAAAACTGAGCAATCAGTTTCCAGTTATTATGCCGATAGGATACGAACCTCACAAATGTGATATTAATAAGATACTTTATCCTAATTGCTTACTTTATTTTCGAAGACTTCCTTTTATTCCAATAAAATATAATAAATTTTTTGAAGAATTATTTGTTAGTAGAAGTAAGTGGTTTTACTTGGGTGAAGTAAGCATTCATTTAAAGTTCATTTCACAGTTCATGACAAATCGTTTGTAAAAAAGATATAGCACAAGGTTAAGCGATTGAAAAGTTATCTATCCTTTTTTGTGTAAAATTATTTCTTATTGATTCATATTACAAATATTGGTGAATATAATCAAAATCTGAGAATCAATTCACTGTAGCTCGATGTGAATAAAGGTCACATTTTGCCTTGACTATGGTCTTAAAATGTTTAAAAAATTGAGTTGCATGCTTCACGAATGTGATATGCCGGTATTTTGGTAGAAGAAGCACTAAAGCGTATAGAAGCAAACAAAAAGTAAGATATTGCACTTATGGATTGCGTAAATCATGTAACAAAAGCTTGAGATATTAATGTAAGTAGTAAAACGATAGCTCACTGTTCTAAAAAAGCTAGATTTGGCCAATTTTCTACATGGAACGAACAGGACTACATTCCTTTAGTTTTTTTGAATAACATTAATGAAAACCGTGAATTGGTGGAACAAAACTATTAAGCATGGTTTAAAGTATATAAAATAACTTTCAATGCTACTCTAACGATTATATTGTACTTGACAATGAAATTTGTACATCAAGCCAATGACAATGAAATTTGTACATCAAGCTTTTCTACAGATCACGATATTATTGAGCATTATATCTCTAAATTAATTGATTCGATTCTAAGCCCAACGGAAAGTAATGATGGGGGTTCGGTGTATGAAATTGTTTATCAACCTTCCAAGAATGAAGTAGAAGACTTATTCAAAATTCTTAATTTTTATTTGTAAACGAATGATACTACAACTGAGGATCATTGTAAAGTTTGAAATAAATTGGGATCTCTTTTTTCTGAAATTAAGAAAAAAAATTCCCAAGTCCCAAACCCTAATTCCTGAATGTTTAACTTCACTATAACTTCTGTGCTGTATTTTATTTCAAATAAATAAATAAATCTGTAAATTCTAGATTTTGTAATTCTAGATTTTAAAATTTAAAAAAAAAATAAAAAATTCTTTAACTCGAAGTCTCCTTTTTTCCTTTTGTAGAACCTTTTCTTTGCAATATGGTACTTCGAGTTATAGAAGTTTGACTGTATATATAAATAAATATTTATTATTAGATAATTTTTTATAGAATTAAATAAAATAAAAACTCATGTCTATAAGACTGACCTTAAAAACTTTTTAATTTGTTACTTCATTGCTGACCATTATATAAAAATTGTAGCCTTCCTTTATTGTATAATATCAAGTTACCGGTATGTGGTATGAAAAGAAAACAATGAGTGCATCTTAATGCAGGCCACCAATCTTCGCTTGCAGTTGCATTCCACGCTCCAATATCTTTTTCACAAGTTCTTGCTGCTTTGTATCTAAGCAGCACAGAAAATATATTCCAATTTTTTATTTCCTGTTTGTTTGTTCTTTTCCATTCAAACTAATTTCTTCAAAGTTTCTTTTTCACTTTACTTGCATCTCTTTCAAGGTTCTAATTTACCGGTTTCTTTAAAATATCTTCACTTATCAACATCAAAAGCATAGCAACAATCCAAGAATCCAGCAAACCAAACAATCAAAACAATGTTAGATCGGCGAGAGATAATCTCTTCGAACCACATGTGCCTTTGGTTCACTTTTAATGTTGTTTACTTGCCAATAAATTACGGAAAATTGTCTGGTCAATATTGTCCGGAATATCTACGAAAATCGTTTTTATCTCAGCGGTTATTGTAATTGTTAAACTTTTACTCATAAAAGAGAAAATAAAGGAAAAAGGTCGAAACTGGGTTTTTATTTTTGGATTTCTATTCATCTTTTGGTTTGGATGAAAACTCGTTTGGTTGAAAGTGTTGCGTTGACTTTTGTAGCTGAACTTCAATGTGGTTAAGCCATCTTATAAGTAAAATTGAGTTTCATTTAATCAATGAAATCAAAGATATTTATTTTCATTGAGTTTTTAACTGCTAAGTAAAATGACACCGCACTGAAATGCGACATAAAAAATTAAACAGAAAGGAAAGGAACAGAACCCAAGAATGCTATGGGGATATTTAAATAATGTTTTACTGTAAAATGTTTTTTTAAATATTCAATAATATTATTAACTAAACCAATTTATACGAATTGCTTAAAAGTTATTAAAACTAATAGGATTAAATGCACTTTTAATTATATAAACACTTAATAATCGTCAGTTATTAGTTCACAGTATTTGTTCTCCAGGTTGTGTTAAATCATTTGAGATATTAATTTCCATTACATGGGGTTAGATTTATTTCAGACTGAGAGAACTTTGAAATCATAATAGATTTGGACATCTCATATTTGTAGTATGAATATTATTAAACATACAAACATTAGGTTAGGTTATGCTGGCAGATCAAAAAGGCCACGCCTAGATCATTAAGGCCTATTGCGATCCCAGATCAGAGTCTTAATTTTTAGCGATAGTGTGCATAACTTTGGAGGCACCTGTATTGTATGTATTTAACAAAATTATTGAGAATTTTTAAATCAATATATAATACTAATGTCAACATAGGGAAACTAGATTGAATTTTTTAGATTATATTTAAGAATTAACAAAAATAACATAAAAAAAAGTATTTCATTGTAACGTTAAATAGTTTTGACATAGTGCTATATATATAATATATTTTCTATTTACTTTTATGACCGATATATACATACATATATTATGATATTCTATAATAAACACATAATAGGGAATTATACTCTAGCACTTACTCACTTGGCCTTTATAGACGTATATAATCATTAATCAGCTCACCTGATCCGATTTTACCGAGTGACTGTTTAACGATCTCAGTTAATCAGGAAGTCCTTCTACGAGAAGGTGATGATTAAAAAACTATTCTCACCGTAGCCCTTTTCCATTATATTAACCAATATAATCATTTTCTTTTTAAGGAGTTATTAATAGTATATATATAATATATTTAATTGAATAATAATTTTATTTTTTTATAATTTTTTTTATTTTACTTTGTTTTTTGGTTTAATTTTTTATTGCTTAAGTATTGTATTGGTTTTGTTTTTGTTTATAGTTATCATTAATATAATTTAATTTGAATATTAGTAAAAATATATTAATTTCAATGAACTAATCACTTTGCTAATATTGAACGCATAATTTTCTACATTTTAAATTTTAATTGAATATTGATTCACCGTAATCTCCTTATTGCAGTTGCCCCGGTACTGTTGCTCCAAAGGTACTATTGTTTCCAATATAAAGAAACTATGTTAAATTAACACGGCAAAAAAAATACATTTATTAGGGGTTTATATTATACTAACCTATATTCGAGAAATCATTAAATTTTCCAGATATTCCGCGTCTTCGGAATCAACAGCCAAATCGAAAAGCATTGGTCAAAATGTTGGACACTGAACTTGGGGGTAGAGATTCAAAAATAAAGAATCAGTTATGTTTAGTAAAAAGACAAAAATTAATAACAAGAACCTTTAAATTATATTCGTTTATGTGTTTCACACTTTTAAGTTGAAATCTGGGTAAGTTAAGTCTAGAGTGATGAACAACCTAGTTACAAAAAAAATAAATATACCAGATTAAGAGATATGAAGTTATATAAAATGATATCTTACCAAACATTTTTTTGATTTCAGAAAAGAAATCTCAGGAAGGTCATGCATGTACTTAGTCCAAGCTGATTTAAGAAAGTTTTTAAAAATTTTTTGATTGCATATTATAAATTCTTTCAGATATTATACGTTAGAGACGAAGTTTTTTTTCGTGATGTGATTTAAATGCCAATAATAAATACCATTTGAAAATAAGAGAATAATTGACAGAAAACATAATTTATAAATTGTTTACTTCATCAGTTTTTAGGTCCCTCTATATTAATATCCTACTCGTGTAGTATTAGTATACTATTATCTAGTCGTGTATTCTGTATTACTTCAGATTTGAGGGAAAAATTAGATAAAATGTTCGAAGAATATAGATAAAATGTTAGAAGAATATGGATCAGAAATTCTACCGCATTGTACTTACATTGAAATTTCCTTTAAGTCAAGCAATGTGATTCGTGTGATTTATATTTGATTAAATCTCTTAACCTGCAAAAATAATTAAGAAACCATTAAAAAATAGTCTGCGAAATCTTTTTTCATTATTAATATAGGTCTAGCGAGAAACAGAGAGCAATACGCGAAAGTAATTGAGCTTATAGAAGAAATGGCAAATACTGATAGTCGAGTTGGTAAAAAAGAAAATATGGCTTACTTAAAATATTTTCTGAATAAAAGGATATTGATTTGCATTTTTGAAACGTTTTTTAATTACTATTAATTTTAATTATCGTTTTTAGTCCGTATTTTTGAAAAAATTTTTACAGAAATTAAAATGCATATGAAAAAATAAAAATTTATTTTAAAATGAAAATATTTTCAGATACTCAAATGTTACTATATTGATTTTTCAATTATCATAATTTTACTTATGTAGGTATGTAACAAACCTTCAGGTATATTAAATATCTATCACACCCATAGATATGTAGGGCGCTTCTGGAAGTTGTTAAAGAACTTCTTTACAACATATGTAATTTTTCTTTATTGATAGGTTTATGCTAATGTCACAATTTTTTTAATTCAAAATGATATTTTGTTTGTAATATACTGATAAGTTTATTATTAATATTAATTCGTGTTTTTTCCAAAAGATAACTCATATTATCTCTATTTCTTTTTTTTTTGTGCAATGCCAATTATAATGACACTCCGAAGAATCCACTTTTGACTGATTTATGTAAAGATCGAGTTGCACTCCACGACCAGGCATTTAACGTAACTCTTTCTAAATTAATTTTTAGTTAAAATCATACATTTTCGACATAAGCCCTTGCTACCACAAAAAGGATGAACATAGTTGATAGAGCCGAACTGACTTCGGTTGAATTCTTCATGGGTAGTAGCATAGTTAAATCTGACAAATTTAATAACTAGTCGAAAATGTGCAATCAATACTTATTTAAAATAAAGTTATTTTTGCAACTAAAAATCTATTTTCTTATATCTATTTCCAAAACTTATTAGTTGGTCAATAAGTACACAAACGTATGTAAAATAAATGTAAATAAAAATTAGTTCAATTCTGTATTCTAGCTTTAAAATACAATAGATATTTTGACGATATTTGTTGGCTTATTAATTTTTCATTTCGCATTATCTGTGAATGCTCGACTTTGGTATCCAGAAGATATAGGTTCTTAGGAAGATACTACTTTGACAGTTTATCAGACTGTTCATCGGTGAAAACGAAAGTCCTATTAAATTACCTAAATTCGGCGAGATGGATTTAGTCTCTATTCTTCTATACTAGGGTTCTTGCGAGGAATGTGGTAGCAAAACGGCGAAAAATCGCTAATTAAGGTACATTGAAGTTATCTAATGGCCTGCCACTGGAACCAACCATATCGCAATAACAATGATGTAAGTAAAAACGATAAAACTATATTAAATTATGTATTTATATTTCCGTAAACACTTTTTAAAACGATTAATCAAATGTAATAAACTTAACTGCTCCATTCGGTTCCATATGAGAAGCACTCAGAAAGTATCTCCATCACAAATCATGCGTATCATTTATACGATGTAATAATTATAGCCACAATGAAGCACATTTGCTGCTGTAATAATAATCAAACATTGGACCAATGTTTCTAAGCACCATATGATTTGCTTCTTTAAATATGCTTTTCCCACAATTGACAAATTTTGACATATTAATGTTATCTATTGCGTAGAAGTGCTAATATCTATGACATACCATGACGAATTTAAAGTTTACTTACACTGCCACATATCTCATCGATCACATTGAAGTACTTAGAATGCTGTAATACTCGTACTGTTTGTTTTGTTTTTGGAAACAGTTGTTGATAATTAATTATATTTAATTAGAGCACAAATATAAGTCATAAAGATAATTAAACATATGTTGACATACGATATTTACTCAACATTAAAATGAATTATTTTTAAATAAGACACACAATATTAATTTCAAATAAAATAAGAAACTATTGATGGAAAAAAAAATATACTCTCAAATATTACTGTATTATCTATTAATGTTATATTATTTATTATAGTACATTTCAAGACACGATGGAATATTCAAGCGTGAAACGTCATGTTTCACTAAAAAATCTTTAATAAAGTGAAGGAATTTTGATTTTTCTATGAATATGTAAAGTATTTTAGGTTTCATCTTTTTTTTTGTTATAATAAAAGTTTTTTCCTATTACTTTAATTTTTGCTATTTAAGTCATTATACTGTATTTATTTACTGTTGTCCTTCTCTCATAAGTGAAGCATAGGGCCTCAACATTATACTTTATGAATATACTAAATTCAATTTTTCTACTAACATCGAAAATGCTTTATGGAATATTTTTTTTTCTTGCGGAAAAGACTTTTCTTCATCCACATTATCCTGCGAAATTACAACAACCCCTGTCTTGCCTTAAATGTTATCATTCATCTACTGTTCTTCATTAGTATATATACGTTCAAGCTCCATCAGTTCACACACTCATCTTGCTTACGGTTTTTCCTCGCTTCCTGATCTAAAGATTATGAACTTATTATTTTACCATATGTGTAGAAATTTGAATATCTCTTAAGCAGATATCTTAAATATCTGTAAAATGATAAATTTTATTCATTTATCTAATAAGTCATTTACAATTTTCATACATATATTAGACCAGTTATCTTCGTAAGTATTCGTCTTTCGAATGTTTTAAGTGCTGATATGTGCTTCATGAACAACGTTCATGTTTCAACTATAACAAAAAAAAAACGAATTTATTTTACAGCAGCCATATATGATAGAGACCAAGACTTTGGGTATAAAAAAGGTCTTACATTCTGTAGGAGCGATATTTATTCGACAACTGAAGAGAAACCAGACCCTAACCCTTTCCTTATCGGTGGTGACTTCAATAGTAAGCACCCCTTTTGGAATAATTCTGCCTCTTGCCCTAGTGGCACTAGGCTATTCAACTGGCTGACTAGCAGCTCAGTCAGTCCTATTTTAAGTGTGGTAGCTCCTTCGGTTCCGACTCATATTAATAGTATCATTGATTTTTTCTTAGCGGATAATCGCCTCCTTTCCTGCCTTAGTGACCCACGAGTCATTGACGGCATATCTGACCACCAAGCAGTAAGGCTTGTGCTTCACGACTGCAGAGCTGTTCGTGCCTGCCCTCGTACTTTTTTTAACTTTCCTAGCACCAACTGGTCGGAGTTCAACCTCGCTCTCGACCACCTCCTTCTTAATTTGAGCATTCCCGAATACAGGAACATGACTCCTGTGGAGATTGATTTTGCTGCCCGTACTCTTGAAAGCATTTTCATCTCCACAATTGAGGACCATGTTCCGAAGGTGCGTGTTCGCAAGTTTTATCAAGTTCCTCTTGATGCTTCTACCCTTCTCCTCATTAACCTGAGGAAATCGCTTCGCCGCAGAACTTATCGCCTTAGACAGGTAGCTTCACCGCAAGCTCATGCGTTCCAAGCCATTCTTAAGAACCTGGACACCATAATTGCCCAGAGAGTCAACCAATCCAGGTTTAATTCCATTAGTGCCAGACTTCGTGCCACTCAGTGCCGGTCTGACGTCTTTAGTACGGTCAGGCAAATCTGTGGATCCAATAGGTCCATCTCAGACCTCCGCTATGGCAACTCCATGGTGTATGACGACCTTGATAAAGTCAACGTCTTTGGTGAAGTCTTTATGACTAATCACCGTCTTACGGCTGGCCTAGGCGAGCGCCACCTTACGTTAACTACGAATTCTGTAGTTCATGGGCTTTTCGATGCTTTCAATGAAAGCATAGTCACTTTCTCCCCGCAGTTCCCCGCTCACTGCATCAATGTTGAAGACACCCGTGGGTTTCTCACCCCTTCCAAACTCATCGACATGCTTCGGCTCAAAACACCTAAAAAGTCATCTGGCACTGACTGCGTGTCTTTCTACGCCATGAGACATTTCTCACCACTCTTTTTTAAAAAGTGCGCCATGCTCTTCAACCATGCGTACAACACTGGTTCCTTCCCCCAACCATGGAGGAAGGCCATAGTTTGTCCCGTTGCCAAAATTGGCAAACCCAAAGCTGACCCTTTCAGCTATCGTCCTATTTCTCTTCTCAACTCTGTCAGTAAGCTCTATGAAACCTTCATAGCCAGCAAGCTGAAATCCTTTTCTTCTGGGAATAATATTATTCCCCCTTTTCAGTTCGGCTTTAGGAGCCAAATCTCCACCATTCATGCCCTGCATCATCTCCAAAATGAGATATGCGTAGGCTTTTTCAATAAGCAGCCCACTGTGGCACTAAGTCTTGACATTGAAAAAGCCTTTGATACTGTCTGGTTTGAAGGCTTAATCCTTAAGCTTCACCAGTTCGGCTTCTCTCCTACGCTCTGCAGTGTTGTCCACAAATTTCTTTCTAACAGAACCTTTCAGGTTCGAGTCGGTTCCTCTCTGTCACGTGATTTCCCCATCGATGCTGGCGTCCCTCAGGGCTCGGTTCTTGGACCCCTCCTTCTCAACCTGTTTATAGCAGATATTCCACTCCCGCGGACCCCTATTAAGCAAATCTGCTTCGCAGACGACTGCCTTGTCTTCATGCGCTCGTCTAATCCTTTCCGCGTCTCCGATGAGCTTAATGCCCACCTTAAATCTCTTTTTGACTACTATACCAGGTGGAAGATTAAACTCAATCCTTCCAAGATCTCTGCCATTGCCTTTACTGGCCAGCAGCGTGATCGTCCCAGAGGTTTTAGCACCTCTAATATTAAGCTCAGGCTTAATAACTCTCCAATTCAGCTTGTTCCCAAGCTGAAATATCTTGGCATTGTTTTCTCTTCCAAACATAACTTCATACCACATATTGACTATGCCATCCGTAACGCCCGGTTCAGGCATACTCAACTTAAAACTGCACTTCGAAGACATAACCAGCTTAATTGCAAAGTTAAGCTGCTCTGCTATAAGCAGCTTATTCGTCCTCTCCTCACTTACGCTTTCCCTATTTGGTCAGCCATCACTTCCGCTCAGATGGAAAGAATCCGCCTGTTTGAGCGGAAACTTCTTCGCGATTGCACTAATTATAAGCGCAAGCCTAATGGCAAACACTTTTCCATATCAACTCTCTATAACAATGCCAAGATCACTCGTGTTGACGAGTATCTTCTGTCACTCGCCCGTAGGTATCTCACCCGGCTCCATGACCTTCCCCCCGACGTTTCCATTCCTTCCACTCTCTCAGAAGACTTTGTTCTAGCTTTGCGCTA